TGTGTGTCCGGTACTAACCTGTGAAGGTGGCGCCTTGTTGCAGGTACTTCGAAGACGAAGCTGGAGCTATGGTGCCACAGGTAAGTCTCCCTGGCCTCCGCCAACCATCACTCTCTCTCTCTCTCTCTACAACGCTACTCTAGCTCCTACTAGCGCCCAACGCTGAAGACTACTGCTAACGCTACTACTACTCCTGCAGTGCTCCTCCAGAGTGCTGCTGCCGAATCCTGAAGACTACCTCCTGCCTCCTGCACGTGAAGTGCCTGGGAAGTTCCTATGAACTGCCTCGCGACTGCCTGTAGGCTGCAGGGTGGGCCAGTCTTATATAGTGCTGGCGTGTCCAGGAGGCTGCTCTTGCCAATGCCAAAACTTGCCAGACCCCGGCATTGAAGTTCAACCAAAGGTTGTCTTGAAAACAGGCCCAAAATGGCCTGTGCTAAAACCCTGGTCTGGTGCCTAAGTTTCAGGGCAGGTCGATCTTATGAGGGCCTGAAAATGGCCCTCCGTTTCAGGCTGAAAAGACTCAGGGCCTGGAGGGCCCTGTTTTAGGCTGAAACGACACAGGGCCTGTAGGCCCTCGTTTTCAGGCTTTCAGGCTGAAACGACACAAGGCCTGTAGGCCCTCGTTTTCAGGCTTTTAGGCTGAAACGAAATAGGCCCTACACCTACTGACCCTTAGTCTACCTTGTCGGGCTCTGCTGGGCCCGCGTGGTACAGAGTATGCCAGATCCGGAAGTGGCCTTTCTAACGTTGTTCACAGCAGGCCAGAGGCAAGTGGGCAAGTGGTGAGTCCAACCTTGCTTAGTCAGCGGTACCCAGTCCCAGTCCCAGTCTCACTTAGTCCAGTCAGCAAGTACCATGTGGGATTGTGTGCACCAAGGGCCCGGTGGAAAAGGGGGCAGAACAGCGACCAACAGAAGTATAAATCAAGAGGCAGCGTCCAGCCATTCATTCATTTCTGCGTGAGCCCTGTGGAAGTGCTGCTTAGGCGACTTGTGCGAGGTGGTCTGCAGATGCCCGAAGTCGAAGTGGGCTGAAGGCAGGAGATAGCGACTAGTGTTAGTAGTAGCGAGCGGTCATAGCCGCCATAGGTTAGAGATAGTGGTTCGGTGTGTAAGTGAGTGTGAGTGGAGTACAACGTGAGTGCGTGCGGGATATCCAAGGAGATCCAGAGTTGAGTGCGTGTAAACAGTGGATGTAAACTCTGAGTGGATAAGTGAAGTGAAGGCGTGTAATCGCCATAGCCATTCTGAAGCGAGTTTGTATCTGAGTTGTGTGGGCGCCAACGCCAATGTACTTCACCATCTGTTTGCATGCATGTTGTATGAAGAAGAAAGCGAGTCTGATTTCATTGGTATCAGAGCTGGTCCATGAGCCGTCGTCGTCAAGCAGTGCGCCGAAGTTGGGCGCCATAGTTGAAGCCGCGCCACCAAGAAAAGGAGGTCCACCATAGTTTCGCCGCGGAGGAAGTTATCGCGTACCTGCAAAGAAATAACGACAAAGAGAGAGAGAGAGAGAGAGAGAGAGAGAGAGAGAGAGAGAGAGAGAGAGAGAGAGAGAGAGAGAGAGAGAGAGAGAGAGAGAGAGANAGAGAGAGAGAGAGAGAGAGAGAGAGAGAGAGAGAGAGAGAGGAGCGATACAAGATTGGTTGTGCGGTCCAAGACAGGAGGTGGCGGCCATAACCGCCGAAGCTCGGACACAGGGTTACCAAGGAGAAGGGAGACGAAGTAGAGAAGAAGGAAGAGACAAAGGAGGAAAAAGAAAGACGTAGCTGGGGTGAAGGAAGAAGAAAGTGAGAAAGAAGGAAGGAGGGAGAAAAAGAGTATTGAAGGTTGGTGAGAAAGAAAGGGGTCGACAACCATAGCTGAGTTGACTGTTGACTGAGGTGTTGATCGAGAGGTTGACCGAAGCGTTGATCGAGGTTGACTAAGGCGTTGACCGGGAAGTTGGCTGGCGTTGACCAAGGTGTTGACCGACGTTGACCGGAGCTGTTGACCACGAATTTGACCAAGCTGGAGATGGTATATTCTCACCAAGCCTTCAACCTATCCCCTCGCCCTATGGATGTGCACTCACCCCGTGGTACTTGCTAAGTCTGTTTGTCTCTTCTTTCTGCATTGAGTCTCTTCTGTCCAGGTGATAGGAACTCTGTGTATGAGGTCATAGAGCTGCGTTGACCAAACTCACATGGGCTGAGTAGGGCTTAAGTCCATGTCTGGCGACTGACTGACCCGGAGGACAGACCTTCCCAAGGACTGGTACAGACTGACGGGCTGCTCAGTGTGGCATGGCAGGCCCAAAATCCGAGTTGTGGGTTGCACAAACAGCTGTCTAAGTCTTGAGAGGACTTGCTGATCGTGTCGTCCTATCTGCGACATTAAATAATTCCTGAGGAGTTACGGGGGATCTCCTTAAATGGCTCCTGATCAGCATTGAGTCTTGTAGTGATAGCTGTAGTATTAAGTCTAGAAAGAGACCATAGTTGACAAGGTCCTACACGGATCGTGTAGTCCCTAGAGAGTCAGTCAGAGAGTCGGTGGGTAGGTGTAAGTGTTGAGGAGTGGGACAACCACTGTCGTGCTTCCAACACCATGGATGACTACCCTATGTACGGCTTGCTCATGGGGTTCTCCCTTTGGGGGACCATTTGGCGATCCATGTTCCCTCTAGGATTCTGGAACACATTTACGTGTAGAGTGGAGACAAGGGGTGGAACTGGGACCACTCCTTATACAAAGGCGCAGGAAGAAGAGGCCGCCAAGATTCTGGTCGAGCAAAAGGCCAGGAAGGAGTAGAGGGAAGTTGTGAAGCAGGCCAAAAAGATGGCCTTACTGGAGGAGCAAGCTGACAAGAAGAAGAAGTTGGAAGAGAAGCTAGAAAGATTGAAGAGGGAAGAAGAGGCAAAGTTGAAGGCGGTGGAAGAAGAAGAAGAAGAAGAAGAAGAAGAAGAAAAGGTGGAAGAAGACGTCCCCTTAATGAGGAAGGTGATAAGAGAAAGAGGGGAGTCCAGTGGCACGAAGAAGGAGGAGGACCCATGGTTGGAAAAAAAGGTGTCTGAGTGGGTTGCGAACTTATCCCTAGGAGAGGACGAAGAGGCGATGTTATATGTACCGAGGGCCGAACAAGAAGCAGTGGTGAAAGAATGGGAGGCGGAAGAAGACCCTCTACGTCGCCAGACGCTTGAAGGAGAGAAGAAGCTAGAATGGAAGTTGCATCTGACTAGGGAGAAGAAGAAGAGAATGGAGGAGGCAAGTAGGGCAGCAAAGCAGTTGGAGGTGGTGAAACAAGAAAGGGTGCAAATGGAGGCACAAGCAGATTTGCAGGGGAAGATGGACGTAATGGCTAGGAATATAGAACTCCTAGCAAGGGCCCACGAAGAGCAATATAAGTTTGCAAGGGGCCAGGATGTAGCCTTACAATCCCTCCGATTGGGGTTTAGAGAATGGAGAGCCCTGAGAGGTACTGCACATGGTCATAGAGGGTGTCAAGCTAGCAGCTCCAAGGGAAGAAGAGGCACGTCCCCGTAGACTACTAGGCAAAGTTAAATTCCCTGATTCCTATAGTGGGAAAAAGAGGGGAAAACTTTGACAACTGGGAGGCGAATGTGAACTCTTACGTTCACCTCCAGAAGATCTTGCTTGAGGAGCAAGTTCTAATTGCTTTCCATGCTCTCAAGGACGGAGCAGCAAGCTTCGCCCGATCCCTTGCCCGAGCAGCCAAATGTGATAATGACATGGTTGCGTACTCCACTATCACCTCTCTCAATGATTTCTTCAAGTTACTACGTGAACGGTTTGCAGACGTCACGTGAGGCATTAGGGTTTCTGACAAGTTGCAAACAATCCACTCTCGTCAATGGAAAGGTGTTAGGGCACTCAAGGGCGTAATGAACAAGTTAGTCGCTGTCC